ATTTTTTGACGCTTAAGGAGTTTAAAAAAATATAAAGTGCCAAACAAATAAATGCACATGGCTTTGGGGTGAAGAAGGAACAATCAAAGCCAGTCCACCTTCAATCATTGGTGGCAAGCAGAATTCATTCCACAGAAAATGTCACTACTGCTTGCAGGCCCTCTAAATGTGCCCCAAGGGATAAGGACTAGAAAGTAGAGAAGCTTGCAGGCTTGCCTATATTGCTAGGATTTAATTTTTCTTTACTTTGTGCTTGTAACAGTGGCAGGTTTGTATAACCTATCCCTAGATCCTTTGAAACATCCTGAATTCCAGCTTCAGGAAACAGCCTTCATCCCACAGTATGAATGAAAATACATTTATTCCATGAAAGTCGATTCTGAGTAAGCATCTCTCATGCTGGAATATAAGGGCCTTTCCATCTGATCATATTGCTGTTACTCACCAGACTGGCACACTGCATTAAGATAAGCCTGGAAGGTATGCATCTCCAGCTGAAAATAACAAGAAGTTCCAGTAAGTATGTGTTTCCTAAGTCACAAATAATTGTTCACACTATTGGGTCAAATTTCAGCAGTATGACTTAATTAGTCAGACAACTTAGGGGTTCATAATTAGATCAAGACACAGTAATCAGGAGATAGGCATGAACGTTTCTAGGCATAGAATTGTATATAACTCCAGTGTTGCAGAATTACTGATAAATACGGTGGTCAGCTGGAGATTCCAAGCTTGAGTACAGTAATCCTGGAAGAGTCCTGGCTTGATTAGATTTCAGCAAAAGAATCCTGAAGTATTTTCAGGATGATTTAATGGGATCCTGGTTTCCAGTCTGCCCTATTTTCCGAAAGTCTTTCCAATACAAAATTACTGCTTTTTCATGTGTGTGTGCACGTGCATATGCGCGCACATGCATGTGCATGTGGGGATTTGCCATACTTTTGAAGTGATTTTTGGTCAGACACCTCACCACTTTGGTGCCGCGTTCCCCTTTTAAGCCAGTGGGAGCAACTGGAACCAGCCTACCTTTCCACTGTCCTTGCTTCCTCTTCATGCCCTCCATCCACTGTGATCACACGACCCTTTGGTGGATTTGGGTAAAACACACCAGAATTGGGAGCATCTGAGAACCAAGGGTTTAAAAATAACAATCTGGAAATGGAAACCAGGAGAAGCAGGGGATGTTACCCTGGAACTGGTCTGAGTTCAGCTGGCCCAATGGCCCTGCCCTCCTCCCTCTTCGCAGTGGCTCTGCACGCTGTCCAGCTGCTGCACCTCACCTGCAGTTCGAAACATCTCTACCTAACCTTCCGCGCCTTCTTTGTTATTTTCGCTTAGGGCTCACCCAGTCTGTTGTCACAGCCAGACACTGATCTAGCACGCCCACAGCCTGATGAGGCGGAAGAGGAGAAGCAGAGCTGCATGTCATCGGCACACAGGTGCCGGCACACTCCAGCACTCTGGGTGACCCTATGCATGGTTTCATATTGATGCTATACAGGACTGGGGACAGAAGTAACCCCTCCAGAACCACATCCTGGAGAAACCACATCCTGGATGAGCACTGTCCCCCAAGCACACCTTTCTGGAGTTGACCATCTGCACAGGAGCAAAATCCACTGCACTGCCATGATCCCTGACTCAGACAGTTGCCCCAGAAAGATAACATGGTCAATGGTATCAAAATCTACTGTGAGATCAAGGAAAGTCAACAAGGTCACATGTCCCCCTCTTTCCTGAATAAGGTCATCATACTGGAGAACCAAGGCTGGTTCTGTACCAAAAGCTAGACTGATAAAAAGACTGAGCACCAAACGAAATGGATCCAGTTCCTTAGCCACTCAGCCACAATAAGAATCAGACCCAGTTTGGTGCATTTGCTTTCCCTATTCCCAACCTCTAGTCCCAGTCAGATATCAGAAGCACAGAGACTGCCAAAACCCCCTGCCTGATGGAGAAACCCTGCCTTCTATTTTACATGCAGAAGAGGGAACGGTTTGCTTCTCCCTGTCTTCACTGCAGAAGATACAGATCTGTGCCTCAACTAACATTTTCAGAAAGGGAGTCTGAGGATCTGAGTCTGAGGAAAACGGTGACAAAAGGTAATGCTGTTAAGCTTTCTGACAAGCAAAAAGTTAATAAATCACTGACCCAGATTTCTTAAGAAACTCCAATAATAAAATGCCTATGGTGGCCTAAGATCAACCTTATACCAGAGAACTGGGGAATGGCCAATGTAGCCACAATTTTAAAAAAGAGATCCAGGAAGGAGCTGGGGATTACAAGTTGGTTAGCTTAATGTTTATTCCAGGTAAATTGGTTGAAAGTTTTATTAAAGGTAACATTACTAAACATATAGAAGGGCAAGCCCTGCTGTAAAAGATTCAACATGGCAACTGAAAAGGTAAGACCCATCTCACTAACCTTTTAGAATTCGTTGTTAATGAATGTGTGGACCAGAACCAGGATGACTTGGTAGAATTGCTTACTTGGGCTTCCAACATGCTTTTGACAAAGTCCCTCAACAGTGGCTGCTGAGCAAATTTACCAGGCATGGAATAAAAGGGAAGGTCATATTATGGATCAGTAAATGGTTAAACAGTAGAAGGCAGACTTCTGGAAATGTTAAACTCTTAATTAAAGAATGTAAACAGTGGGGTTCCTCAGGGATTTATATTGGGACCAATGCTTTTGAAGTTATTCATAAATTTTCTAGAATGAGGAGTGAGCAGTGAAGTGGCCAAGTTTTTTTTTTTTTAATTTTGATTTATATCCTGCCTTTTTCCTACAAAGGGCTCAAGGCAGCTTACATCATTCTCCTCCTCCATCTTATCCCCACAACAACAACCCTGTGAGGTAGGTTGGGCTGAGAGACTTTGACTGGCCCAAAGTCACCCAGCTGGCTCCATGGCTGAGCAGGGACTAGAACCCAGATCACCTGAGTCCCAGTCCCATGCTCTTAACCACTATGCCACACTGGCTTGTCAGCAAGTTTTCTGATGACACCCAATTAGCTGCGGCTGATAAAAGGAAAAGTGGGCAGCTTGTTGTCTGCTATGTGAATGGAAAAGAATAAAATGGCAAAACATATGTATGGAATTGCCAACCAGTTCCCTGAGCTTCTGTGCTTGGATGGTGGCCCAGTGGAGAGTAGGGTAGCAGCAGGGACACAAAGCTGCCGCTTCCCTACTCATTTGCTGCTTAACAATCTGTCACTGAGTACAGGAACCTACCTAGAACAGGAAGGTTAGTAACTCCACAAGGAACACCAAGCGCATCTGCCTGTTCCTGCTGGTCATGAGAGAGAGCTGGCTCCTGGATCAAGGTGCGGGTCAGATTCCGTACATGAAAAGAATCATCTGTGGAGAGGACAGGGACACAAAGGCAAATTGTTAACAGCTAAATTACAGGGGCTCTGAACCAACATACAGGGCAGGTCTTCACAGCACAAAAAGCCACCCTGCATAGGGAGCACTGGAGAAAGGGATTTTTGCCGCTCTTGCCAAACAGCTGTCTAGCATCTAGTCTTCAGCCACAATAAGACCTACTGCACGGGTTCAGACAGCATGGCAACCCATAATAAGTCAACACAAAGTAGCTAGGTGAATGGGCAGAAAGACCTTTACTGCAATTGCCAGAAACTCATGCTTAAATCTCCTGTCCAAACAGAGAGAAGATGCTTATGAATGGGAGGTAATTAATGAGAAGAGAAAACGGGGGGGGGGGACTTGAACATAAGCAATTAAAAACACCTTTAGTATCAGAGGCAGTGCACCCACGTACACCAGCTGCAGGGGAGTGTGGGCAGAAGGACACCTGTGGGCAGTGGGGTGGCTGCTGAGTGGGCAGAATGACGGTCTGATGCAGCAGGGCTCAAGAGGCAGAACGCTCATAAGGCGAGAGTCACCAGAGGGTGGCAACACAAGGACAAACAGGCAGTCAGAGGAAAAGGTCAATGGATGGCCCAGAGTGACAAAGGACAAACCATATTCCAGTGTTGTTATGATTGGCAACATGCGTGTATAAAGAGCTGGACTAGCCAACCATGTTTCAGTAATCAGCGGAGGGGCATATAAACAGGAAGATTCTTCCCTGACATTTTGAGCATCAAATGGCTAACTAAAAAGGAAACCATTTTAGCTAACGTTGGCAAACTGAATGTATCAAAATACTTCCTGTTTGTGAATCTGAAAGCCGTAAGTATTTATTGTAAGCTGCCTTTAGACTACAGTGGTAGGTGGCTTATAAATGAACGTATAAATAAGTAGACTTTTCTGATCTACGAATCCTGCCGACCCCTTTTCTCAAACCATATATGAATTATTGCTATGGTTATTTAGACGTGAGGCACTTTATAAATGTGCAAGGCCACATTTTCCTTTGCTATTCCTTTACGTGCTGTCATCTAACAGTGGCCACACCGTTGAACAGCAGAGGAAACCAGAAGAGGAACAGCCTCTTCTACCAGCCGTGCTGAATCAGTAGCTGCTGTGGCCGCTTCGGACTCTTGCTTATGGGTCACCAGCCGCAGCCACTCCATTAGACCATCCGAGCTGCCTTCATCCACTTTTTGGTTAGGACCAAAACTTTAAGAACTGACTTGCCTTCTTCCTCTTCCCCCTCCCTTGTGTCTTGTCCTTTCAATTGCAACTCTGAGCGCAGGAATTCTCCTGTTTTCTATTATAATAATTCAGATCTGAACACCGGCTTAAAACAAGTGCTCAGATTGCTCCAGCAGAGGACGGGCGAGTGGTGCTTGAGGACCCCAGAACAGGAGTCTCGACCGAGCTGCCAGGTCTCCGCTGCTCCCGCTCCCAGCCGGCAGGGGGCGCGTGGTCCTCACGCGCCCCGCCCCGCCCCGGTCCTCCCGGCGTGTCGCGCGCCGCTTCGCCGGCAGGGGCCGCCGTGAGGCCGGGCGCCGGGTCCGCCGGCGGGGCGAGTCTGCTCTTGCCTCGCCGCGAGCCGAGGCGTCATATGACCCCGACGCGGGGCGCGAGCGCGAGCAGCTGCTGCAGCCGCCGGAGTCGGCCTGAGGCGCCGTCGTGACGGAGGCGAAGCGGGCGAGACGGGCGCAGAGGGAGGCGGATCGCGAGGCAGAGACGCGGCCGGGCTGCTGCTGTCGCCACCATGCTGGCGTTGTTGTCTCGGCTGCTGGACTGGTTCCGGTCGCTGTTTTGGAAGGAGGAGATGGAGCTGACGCTGGTCGGGCTGCAGTACTCGGGCAAGACCACCTTCGTCAACGTCATCGCGGTGAGAGACCCCGCAGCGCCCGCGCCTGCCCTCCTCACGCCCCTCGCGGCGGCCTCGGGAGCCCCTCGCCGCCGGCCCGCCCAGCCCCTGCCTCGCCTCGCCGGGGAGCGGGCTGAGCGAGGGGGGCTCGGGCGGTCGCTGCGCCGCTTCCCTCCGGCCCCGGCACCTCCCCGCGTGCGGCTTGGGACGCCGTGGGATCGTTCTCATTTCATTTCACGCAGTGCTACCCCAGGCTACACGCGGCAGCCCCCCTGGAAGGGATGAGCACTTTAAAGTGGGCTGCAGGTGCTCAATAGCGTATTTAAATACAGCCTCAGGGGTGGAGAAGGAGGAGGAATACGTAGCAAAACAGCATGCCAAGAAGGAGGGTTTGACCTTTTCCCAGGATACGTACGTTTCCTGAGCATGGGGTGGGGATAGCATGCTCACCTGTAGTCTGCAAGTTGTGGGTCCAGGAAAAGCATGACCTTTTATTCTGTAATTTTCTTAAACTGGGGCTCGGTGAAGTTCCTTGGGGATGGGTGGGGCTGAGCCTGAGGCAGGTTGCCTTTTTACCCAATTTATTGTCGCTGCGCACGCGTGGATTAAAGCAGCTCGTGAGGTGGGCTGGGGCGGGGAGGATGGTGCCTTGTGTTAGCCGTCTCTGAACTCTCCTAAGTCTTTTGCACAGTAAGCTCTGCTTGGGATGGGCAATATCGGGAGTTCTTTTGCTCCTCCCATCCCTGCAGCTGCTGTGATTCTGACTCCTTGTGGGGTGTGGCCTTCCTAAAGATAACTATTCACTACTCCTTTTCCCCAGCATGTAGGTACTCTGGGATGTGGGGGTTAAAAAGATCTACATGCCTTCCTCTGAGTTCATGAATCCAGTCCTCTTTGGAAAAAGTTAGATCAGGGTCATTAGTACCGATTATTAATACCATATAATGCCAAATCATGGTCCAAAAAGGATTATGTAGTTCACTTTAAGGGAAACTGGCCCAGCCGAAGCCCAGAGCCTATCCAGGAATCCTGTCTGTGTCTGGTCGTTTCCTGAAAGAGTAAAAAGTAAGCTTAGAATTTTTTTACCAATAGGCCATCAATTGTTATAAACTTAAAGTAGTTTATGTGAGTTGGAGTCTCTGATATCTTCACTCACCTGAATGTGTCTAGAACCCCTTTAATGAGAGATTGGGTATCTGTTTACTTAATCGAGTGTTTCTGTTCTTCCTTAATGCCATTCTTCTGTACAGGCAGTTACAGTCAGCTGCATGCCCCGAACAGCCTTACCCTGTTTGTACTGCTGAATGGGAAACAAGTTGCGGGACTTGTTTCCCTCTGTAGGTGTATAGGACTGTAACCTTAATAATAGGGGCTACAGTCATAAGTTCATAAACCTATGCTATACATAGTAAAGTAAAAGGCAATGTAATAATAAAGATGAATGGACCAGCATAGTAAAGACAAATATGTTATCTAAGTTTTAGGAATGTGAATTGTGATTAAAAGTGTTCCATGGTAACTTTTAATCAAACTTTTAATATGTGTTTATAACATGGCCTCATTATTTTATTTTAAAATAGTATTTTATGTTTCCTGTTTTGGTGTGTATGTACAGGGATTCCACTACTTTTAGTTACAGTGAATTTCAGATCAGCTCTTACCAAATACTTAGCTCAGGATAAATAGGTTGACTTTGTCTGTTTGCCTGGAGAGACCTGGGTCAGGTGAGTCCCACTCTTTTCATGGTAGGTCAAAGTAGCCTTTTTTTAGGTAATGCAGTAAGAATAAGTGGGCAAGGTTTGAGTGCAGTTGGCAAACTGTTTGGAATGAGATAAATGCTTCTACAATTGGTGCAGCTGCCCAATGTGTCTGTTTTGGTTTGGCCATTAACTTGCTTATCTATGTAGAAGTTGGTACATAAAAAGCTTTGTTAAGCTCTTCTAAATGACAGATTGCAACACTTTTAACAAACAGAAGATGCTGTGTTGTCCTGATTGGTGTGGTGTGTCAGTGCTACATGTCCCTGGTAAGGTCATAGTATTGCTCATTAGATTAAAGCTTGAAGTTGTTCTGACTAGTCAATAAGTCAGTGCACTCTTTTTAGTACACGTAGGATGCAGCCCAATCTTGAGGGCTTTTGAGTATCTAGTACTTTGTTGGGCTGCTGCTAGAGAAGTGACGAGAGCTGATTTTTTACCTTTCCATTCTCCTGAAAGTTTCCTACTATTCAGACCCCTTTATTGGAGTCTTTGCACCCACCAGAATAGGGGCAGGGAAAGAGAATACAAGACCACCCCTCCTGAGGTCATAGCAATGTCTACAGCCTTGGGAAGGGGACTCTGAAAATCCTGTGCCATCCTTAAGATTTTCATGCCTTTAGTACACCTGATGCTGGAGTGAGCTGTTGTCAGTCCTGTAGCCTTTAATGGAGGCACTTTGCTGCATAAAATGATCTGTGCTAGAGCAGAACTGTCTAGCCCAGCAAACTGTTTCCACAGTTGCCAACCTGAGGCCTATGTGACATATACAAGTAGGACATTATGGGAGGAAAGGGATCCTTCCTATCCACTCTCTCTGCATCTTGCATATTTTTAGATGCTTCTGTCATGTTCCTCTTGCCTCCCCCCCCCCCAAATTAAAGGAATTGGTTTATTCCTTTGTTTGGTTGCTGTTTATTGATGATTTCTAGCCCTTTGTTTAGGTTTGGACTACAATATGCTTCTTAAATATGTAGCTAAGTGCAGCATTTGCAAGGCTGGTAACCAGTATCTAAGTATAATGAACTTGTTTGCTGTTGCTTAATCTTTGCCTGGAACCCAGTTATGAAATTTCTGTGGAAGGGGATCTTGTGAATGAGACCTGAAGTTGATTTAGTTTCATATCAGTATTATTTACAGCAAAGGAAAAACAAAGATGTCTACAGAGCTAAACCATAATTCTGAAACCTCTACTGTCTAGGAAGGTATTTAGTATAGCAGTGGCTGAAACTTTTCCAAGATGTTACTATTTAGTATTACTCAATCCTTGACAAGTATGCACTTTGAAATACTTCCAGGTAACTTTATTATTTTAAATGAGTTAACTGTTGCATTTTAATGTGAAGTTAAAAGGTCATGCGGCCATTGAGTGGTATGCTATGTCTTGAGAGGGAAAGGCTTATTAGCTTTTTGTTGTCTTCCTTTCAATAACCTCTAAAAAACAAGTTCTTTCTGGTAACCTTTTATTGAACTGGCAGCTACTTTTAACTTGACATATGTAGCTGACTTGATGTAACAACTTTATTTATGTTACAGCTTTAAATATAACATTTTTGTTCTTACTAACAGCTTAGATAATTGGGAGGAAACCTGGATGAGTTAAAAGAAACAACTTCTCTGAGGGGAAAAATATTTCTTCTGTAAACTGAGCTACAATTGATGAAATTTCAAAACTGCACCAAAGAACTGCATATTTTACACCCAACAAAGAAGTATTGGTCTATCAAATAACCTGAACTGGGATAACAGAAACAAGAAGGTGCATTAAATACTGGAAATGATTAACATTTCCTTCTCTTGATTCTGAAAAACCAATACTGGAGATTGAGGTATCATGCATAGGGGATCATGTGCTGGATATCACTCTAGCCATGGTTAAGGGAGGCTAACTATAATATGGGAAATAACAGGTGGATATGTACTTCTATCCTTTCGTGTACTGTATAGCATGAGGAGAAGCATCTCCATCTTTATTTTTCTGGTAGGCTTAGTTGTCAAATCAGTGAACCTCTCTGTTCATGCAATAGTGCTGCTTTGACAGAGTGGAACAGTTTTGACTGTTCCCCAGACATCTTTGAAAGCAGTGCTTCTCAGAAATGACAAAATAGCTCCTTGATTATGTGGAAATTGCCTATGCTCAGTGCTGGACCTTTGTATAAAAATCATAAATAAAAGCTCTCTATGTCTTATAGCAGAAGTATGGTTCATTGGAAGGCATGAGGAAGGGTTGGTTATGCCATTTGAAGTTGTGTGGCTTATTGTCCAGATTCTAACTTATATCTAGACTTAACTAGGTGAAAATTATTAAATATATATGTTTACAAATGTGTTTCTGGATGAAATGAAAGTGTAATGATAGTCCCTTTATTAAGCTTCAATGTTTTGACTACCTTGCTAACACATAGACTGCATGTTAGTGATTACAGGATGCTTTACCATGTAGTATTAAAATATGCTTTTTGCTGTTGCTTTGGCAGTAGGGATCCGTTGCCAAGAGAGATGTTCCCTTGTCTTCCAAGTAAAATAAAAATTATTGTGCTTGGGCAGTGAGCTTGCCAAACTCAGGACTAAGCAGCTATAACATGTGGTTATAGATTAATGTGTTTCAGAAAAAAACAGTTTTTATACTTATTGGAAACCTTCATTAATAGAAAATGCATGTTTGATGTTACCAATTCTTGAACAATGAATTTAACAATTTAACTGATTATTTCATCAGTAATATGGTCTGCAATGTTTGTATTTTGGGCATGGCTGTTGCTTGAGAATTGAAATATTGTAGAAGTTGAGTAGCTGATGAACTGTGGTTAATTTCTAAAAATGCAACAAGATTGGAAAGTTTATTCTTAACTTATCCTAGAAATGATTATTGCCGAGTAGACACACACAGATTTGGGTGAAAAAGGTAAATATGGGCAGTATAGTAAATGCATGGCAGTGACTTATCTGGGACTGTGTGTGAGACTTAAGATTCTATTTTTCCAAAACTTCATAATCTTTTCAAATAGGCTCACTAAGATCATACCAAGTATTCTCCTGATCAATTTCAGTAGAACTAAACTGGTTTAAATGCAGGGATCATGGGACTAAATGGTTTGAGTTGGGTTTCTGAGCCTTTCATTATTGGGAGAAACCTCATTGCACACAGTCAGCTCCTATCAAGTCATCAGCCAAACTGGATTATGACTTGCTTTTCAGACAGGTATAACAATAGCATGACTCATGATGATCTGATAAAATGCAAGTCTGTATTTATTGCAAGAA